CATCAGAATAATTGATAGATTGATTGATTACTAAAATAATTGTTAAAATAATCGCCCTACAACAATTACATTTTTTTTTCAAGAGACAATTGTATAAGATGAAAAAAGATTTTAACAATATTTCAAAGAACAGGGGTTTTGCCACAAACTTCTCATCAAAGCTTAGTGACCGTCTAACACAGAGCGGTCTAAATGTTTCACAAGGAATTCAGGACGAATTTCAGGAAAAACGGATTTTGAATAAAAGTACAGTAAAGAGGACTGCTACTCCTGCTAGCCAGAGGTAATTTTGATTTTCACAAGTTTTAATCGTGCATCTGAGTTTTTAGCACAGCTGGAAAAATGACACCAATTTAAAAAAAAAGCTGTTTTGGCAGTAGTCTGACCTGCTCCACGTCCTTGTTGAAGCCAAGAGCTCTTTATATCTCTGCACACATTCTTCCCTGAAGAGGAACTTTACTCGCTTGATGTGGGAGGACAAGTGGATTCTGGGAAGGAGAGGCAGAGTGACAACAGATTACTCAGGGGTTCAGATGCCGGGGCACCAGCTGCGAAGACGAAAACAAACAAAAAAAAGCAGTCAACTCACTTTTCAAACTTGTGGATTTGCTCATCGTTATAGAGCAGCTCTGTGATAGAAAGTAATTGGTTCAGATGTTTCACAACCAATAAGACCAAATGTTTTGGACAGTGGCACGATTTTTATTTTAGCTATGTAAATAAAAACATAACAATTTACTTGTAAGTAAAACTGAGCTGATTTGATTTTATAGTTGTCAAATTGAAATTGCAGAAGGGTTTTAATAATTAAAACTCAGAAATTAAAATGTAACTTGAAAAACATGTATCTAAAATAAAAAGCGCGCCTGTCCAAACATGGTGCAAGTCAGGAGCGTTTCCATACTGCCAGTCACTCTGTCTTTTCGGAACTGCTGATGAATCGTTGTGATCTTCTGAAGCAGGATCTCCATCTTCTGACAGCTGAGGGAGACAACGAGTCAAACATTAAACATTTCATAATAACCCACTAACACCTGGAGCCCTGCCCTCCAGCAGTACCTCTTGTCATTAGCCTGAGTTTCTGCCAGCTTGGCCTGTTCTATCTGAAGACGCTCCAGTCGGTTCTGAAACTCCTGGATCCCAGCGCCGTAAGCCGGCAGGTTCTGATGAACCTGCAAACACAGCAGCAACTAATTCCTACACAATATACCAACAAATTACAGCTTTGTTGGGGAATTTACATGATAATAGTGACATTAAACTAAACTCCTGCTTCTGGACTGGACTTACCACCTGCAGTTTTTGACTGGTATTAGCTGGTCCTGGACTTTCAGAGGAATAAGGTGCTCTAGGAAGCATAACATATAAAACATGAGAAAAAGRTTTACGGTGTCAGGAATATCAGTAATGTTTAGGAATAGCATCTCCTCCATATTTCAATACTCTCAATTAGGGCTGCCACTATTAGTCGATTAGTCGACGACTAATCGATTATTAA